CCAGCACCTGGGTCGTGAGCCACAGGGAACCACCCTAAACTCATAACCTCACCTCCAAGCCTCCCCATGGTAAATCTACCCTTCCCAGCCTAACTAACTCCCACCCCACCTATGGGTCCCAGGTTAGCTGTTACCTCCTCCTCATGCCTGTAATCCCAGGGCTATGAGAGGTTGACGCAGGAAGAGCACTTAAGGCCGAGAGTTCCAGATCAGCCTGGACAACACAGCAAGACCCCATCTCTACAAAATTAAATTTTTAAAAAATCAGCCGGGCGTGGTGGCAACACCTGTAGTCCTAGCTGCTTGGGAGGCTGAGGCAGGAGGATCACTTGACCCCAAAAGTTTGAGGTTTCAGTGAGCCATGACTGTACCACTGCACTCTAGCCTCAGCAACAGAGCAAAACCCTATCTCAAAAAAAAGAAAAGAGAACGACGGTCTAATCCCCGGAAACTGTGATGGCTACCTTATGTGGCAAAAGGAGCTTTGCTGATGTAATTTAATTAAGACTTTTTGTGTTTTTACACAAAAGTTACAGTATCTTCAGATTTCTCTCTGCTCTGTAGTCAAGTGACTGTGTGTGTGTGTGTGTGTGTGTGTGCGTGCACGCGTGTGTGTGTGTGAAGTTTCCCTGTGCCTCTTTCTTTTAAGGACTGTTGTGATGGCATTTAGGTTCCACCCAGATAATCTAGGATAACCTTTGCATCTCAGGATCCTTAATTATAGGCTGAGTGCAGTGGCCCATGCCCGTCATCCTAGCTTTTTGGGAAGCCAAGGCCGGCAGATCACTTGAGGTCAGAAGTTTGCAGTCAACATGGCAAAATCCTGTCTCTACCAAAAAATACAAAAATTAGCCAGGTGGAGTGGAACGCACCTGTAATCCCAGCCACTCGGGAGGCTAAGGAAGGAGAATCGCTTGAACCCGGGTGGCAGAGGCTGCAGTGAGCTGAGTTCACACCACTATACTCCAGTCTGGGCGACAGAGTGAGACCCTGTCTCAAAAAACACAAAAAGTCTTAATTAAATTACATCTGCAAAGCTCCTTTTGCCACATAAGGTAGCCATCACAGTTTCTGGGGATTAGAACGTCGTTCTCTTTTCTTTTTTTTGAGATAGGGTTTTGCTCTGTTGCTGAGGCTAGAGTGCAGTGGTACAGTCATGGCTCACTGAAACCTCAAACTTTTGGGTTCAAGTGATCCTCCTGCCTCAGCCTCCCAAGCAGCTAGGACTACAGGTGTTGCCACCACGCCCGGCTGATTTTTTAAAAATTTAATTTTGTAGAGATGGGGTCTTGCTGTGTTGTCCAGGCTGATCTGGAACTCTCGGCCTTAAGTGCTCTTCCTGCGTCAACCTCTCATAGCCCTGGGATTACAGGCATGAGGAGGAGGTAACAGCTAACCTGGGACCCATAGGTGGGGTGGGAGTTAGTTAGGCTGGGAAGGGTAGATTTACCATGGGGAGGCTTGGAGGTGAGGTTATGAGTTTAGGGTGGTTCCCTGTGGCTCACGACCCAGGTGCTGGGGAGTGGCCTGAGTGGAGGTTGAGGCCAGACCCTGGAACACTGAGCAACCAACCTCCAAGCTCTGGAGGTGCATCGTCCACTGAACCTTCTATGAGAATAGGGCTCTGCCTTTATTTGTGCTGTGCAGCATGGTGGCACCAGCCACCTGTGGTGGTTGAATATCTGAAATGTGGCCAGGGTGACTGAGGGACGGATGTTTTGATATTATTTACTTTTAATGAATTTGCATGTAAATAGCCACATGTGGCTGTGGCAGTGGGCAATGCAGTTCTAGAGTTTGGTCACCATGGAAGGATTTTGCTCAGGGCAGTGATGTGATCAGGATTGTGGGATGGAGGCCGGATTGTTGGGGTGGAAGGAGGATAGGAGATCAGACCAGTGCACTGGCAGGCATGCTGGAGAAAAGGGGCCTGGAGGCACAGGGGAGGTAGAATCAGCTTGTGTTTCTGGTGATTAAGATATGGGGTGAGGACAGGGATCATCAGGGTGATGCTCAGGTGATAGTCTGGTGACTTAGGTGAAGAAGCACTTCTGGGGGAAAGATGCTGAGTTTAGAGTGGTCCTTGTTAGGCTGTGTTGGAACATTCTAGTACCAGTGGACATCAGGGAGGAGAGGCCAGGAGCTCCAGAGGTCATCAGGGCTGCAATTAGAGATCTGGGATGCAGCGGCTCATGCATCCAGGTGGGGATGTTTGCGAACCACCCATCCCAGGATCCTCGGTGTGCCTAATGCAGATTCCTGGCTCTAGCCCTGGACTTATTTAACCTACCAAAGTGCTGGGATTATAGGCATGAGCGACTGCACCTGGCCTACTTTTTTTTCAACTTAAAAAAAAATTGTGATTTAAAAAACTCATAGCATAAAATTCCATCTTAGTCATTTTAAATTAACAGTTCAGTAGTTTAAGTAGAGTCACGTTGCTGTGAAAAAGAACGTATTCATCTTGCAAAACTGAAACCCTGTACCGTTAAACAATTCTCCTTCCCCCAGCCCCTGGTAAACGCCACTCTCCTTTCGGTTTGTATGGATTTGACTACTCTAGGGACCCCATCAAAGTAGAATCATACAGTGTTTGTCCTTGTATGACTGGCTTTCTTCACTTAGCGTAATGATGTTGTTTATCTGTGTTGCAAAATGTCCCAGAATTTCCTTCCTTTTTAAGGCTGGATAATAATTCCATGGTATGAAAACCGTGCTTTGTTTATCCATTTATCCACCTGGGTTGTACCTCTTGCTGTTGTGAATAGTACTGGAATGAACATGGGTAGGCAAATCTCTTTGAGACTCTGCTTTCAATTACTTTGGCTACGTACTCAAAAGTGGGATTGCTAGATCCTATGGTAGTTCGATTTTTAATTTTTTGAGGAACCTCCATACTGTTTTCCACATCAGTTACGCTATTTTGCAATCTCACGAACAGCGTACAAGAGTTCCAGTGTCTCCGCAGCCTTGCCAACATTGTTATTGTCTGTGTTTTTGATAGTAACCACCCTGTGGGTGTGATAACCGTGTTATTTCATTGTGGTTTAGGTTGGCATTCCCCTAGTAGGTAATGATGCTGAACATTTTTTCATGTGCTACATGTTCATTTGTATATCATGTTTGGAGAAATATCTATTCAAATCTTTTGCCCATTTCTGAATCAGGTTATGGGATTTTTGTTGTTGAGTTCTTTATCTCTTCTGGATATTAATATTTTCTCTTATTCTGTAGGCTGCCCTCTTTCTGTTGATTGTGTCTTCTGATGCACACAAGATTTTAGGTTTAATATAGTTCCATTTGTCTATTTGCACTTTTGTTTGCTCTGTGTGTGTGTGTGTGTGTGTGTGTGTGTGTGTGTGTGTGTGTGTGTCTGTTTAATATAATTCATGGTGGGGCCCTGTGGCTCATGCCTATAATTCCAGCACCTTAGGAGGCTGAGACAGGTGGATTGTTGAGGCCAGGAGTTTGGGAGCAGCCTGGGCAACGTAGCAAAACCCCATATCTACAAAAAATACAAAAAGTGACCAGACATGGTGACACACACCTATAGTCCCAGCCACTTTGGAGGCTGAGGTAGGAAGATTGCTTTGGCCTGGGAGGTTGAGG